CTTATTTTTCATCAATATCTTGGCTGTGCAAAGTGAATCAGACACACAAGTGGAACCACTCAGAGGAGTTCAATTTGATCCATAAACAACATGCAATCATGTATTTACATAAATTAAAAAAAATCATGAGTTAACAACTTAATTTTGGGTAATGAGCTTCCTATAACAAGTTTTAGAATTAATAAGATATAAATCCGCGTCCGAATCCAATCATTAACTCAAAATACTTATGATAGAACAGTAAAACTTCAGTTCTGATGTTCAATAAACCAAACATTTACTGGCACATTAAACTTAGATTCTGGCAAGGCAAATAGTAATAAAAGGAGGAAAAAGTAAGGTTAGTATTTCTACTTTTTACTTTTACCAAGTGTGAGAACCAACCGGATATGCACTTCTCTCTCAACCCAGCTTCTGCCGAACCCGTCACAATAAACACCTCAGCCTCGTTACCTTTGATGACTTCTTAGACACCCACTGAGTAGCAAGACTGGTCCACCTCTGATCGGTCAGGAGGACTCGGTAAGTCCGCTCACCTCCATCAGTAGAACACGTGTTATTTCTCCGGTAACCTCTGGGTCTGCCTCAATTCTGGGAGAGTAATAGATCGAGCTGTTCCGGTTTCTCCTTCAAAATAAAACCACTTCCACAAAAGGAAGGGAAAAATCAATAATTGCTTGGAGGTTTTGAAACCTCGTATGGGGATCCTGACAGGCTTGTCGAATCCCTGGCTGTAAAAATCCACTCTTCGGCTCTTGAGTTGGATTTTTAATCTCACAGGCTGAGTTCCTCCAAAGAGGAGAAACAGCTTCTTCCTTGTTGAGTCAGGAAGTCGGAGTGTACCCAAAGCTGTCCGGGTTAGTATAAGAACGGACAACTTTGGTTCCGCCTCTAGGCGTAAAGATGAGTCAGAGAAAGGAAGAGTTAAGACTTGACAGGCGCCAGCCAAGGTTATTTTGTATGGTTGAGTAAACAAACATCATGATAACCTACTAACTTATTCCTCTGAGAGACTCTACATGATATCACTGAAATCATTTTATGATGATTACCTGTAACATTTCTGCTCCATAATCAGCTCTAAACCATTCTTTAGTTTAGATAAATGAAAGATTTTCTCAAGAAAAATCCACAAATATATTACTGTTTACAGTAAAATAAAAACAGTGATTTGCATAAAAACACAATGAAAACATTGTAATCACATTCTCTGTGATTTTTTTATACTATTATAAATCTTTAAGGCATGATAAGAGAAAAGAAGTTGTTCTACTTTTTCATGTGACAGGCATTATCTTGATTTAACAAATGCACAAACATTCTTAGTTAAATGACAAATGAATCACGAACAAAGGGGATTATTTTGTCCATTATCTGATTAAGAGAAAGAGTTAGAATGACCTGTCATGGCCTAAATAAAGTTCAGAGTGGAACAGAATTCCTGTCTTCTTTCCAGACCCGTCCGAGGCCTGCTTTAGAGGCAGAAAATCTTGTTTTCCCACTCGAGGTRACTCCTACACCAGTTTGGTTCACTTTATAGATTATTCCCTTTATGGATTATCTAATTTCTCTCTGGGATGAATAAAGTCTTTTTGAATTGAACTGAATAGGATAATCTGGTTAATCTAAATCAGCAGAGTTTCATTTGAGTTTTAACCCCAATCAGCGACTCGATTCATCTGAGTCAGCAGTGTTTCTGGTGTTTTTTTAAACTCCAATCAGCGACTCGATTCATCTGAGTCAGCAGTGTTTCTGGTGTGATTTTAATCCAAATCAGCGATTCGACTCATCTGAGTCAGCAGTGTTTCAGGTGGGATTTTTTTTAAGCCCAATCAGCATCTTTGAGCATCAGTGTTTCTGGGGATTCAGCTGTTTTGAGGCAAGCCAGCCAACTTGTGGACTCAGCTGGACAGAGGACATGTAAGACTGGGGCTAACTGAGATCTTCAACTCCTGAGTCTTGGTTCAAAGTAAAGATTCAGTGAATCAGTAACTGACCAGCTAAATTCTTGTTTGTCGAGTAAACTCTCACTGCACTGTGACTTGTTCATCCACGACTTTCACGAGGTTCTTAAACTGCATTTGGACTTCAGTACAGGAGCTTTCTTCTGACAGAAACTATCCGAGACAAACAGGTCTTTTTTAAGCCAACTCCCTCTGACTAAATCAAAAATATGCTGCTGTKTACTGTGTGAACAAAACACACAGAACACATTGGTCATATCGATTCGGACTCTCCTACACCCTGTAAAAACACATCACCACTCCCCGATAATAAAAGATGCAGGAGCTGCATTCCTCTAACGAACTCTGACTCTGCAGGTCTGAAGTCCTCGTTCATCATCATGTCCAACAGCTTTAGAACCTGACCCATGTCGGGACTGTCCAACCCAACCAGACTGTTCAAGGAGGTTTACATTCAGTGCTTTAAGTGGGCCGGTACGCAGTACCACTTCTCAGTTTTACCCCTCAGCGTACTGGAACTTATTTCCCGAGTCCGAAGCGTTCCAGAACCTTTTCTGGTGTTGTAAAGCCTGCGYTTCCCATTTCCCTCTGTTCCCTGTTCCTACACAAAGCTCTGAACCGTGCAGGCTGCAAAAGAAAAAAAGTAAAAAGGAGTGCGCTCTTGTCGCACACAGACTGAAAGTATGAACAGAAAAACACGACACAGGACGGAAAAATAAGACGAAAAAACGCATGAAAACAGGGAATCCAGTGCTGAACAGTAAACAAACGAAGAGTTTGAGTGGCGGATCAGTTGAAACACACGAGGATGATGAGGCGTCGCTGGTGAGTGAGATGGTCCTATAAACACTGAAACAATGAAAACAGCTGGGAGGCAGACTAATGACATGAGAGAAACTAAAGAGGACTCATTAAATGAAGTAAACTAAACAGAAATGCACGAAGAAAAAAATGCAAAAATAAACTAAGAAACTAAATAATGAACAAACCTGTAGGTCTATAGCAAGACCTTTTGAGCGATAATTAATTCAGGAGACAAACAGCAAAATACATGATCTGAATAGAAATAAAAACACAGATAATAAGATGATGGGAAACAATATTCAGGAAGGAAAATCAACAATAAACTATGAAAATAAACATCAAGGATAAAACTTATTCGGCAGAAAATATGAAGCATGGTTTACCTACAAGCACAGGAGATAGAGTACCCAATAATCGTACTCAGGTAAGAATAGCACTACTTCAACATATTTTTTTCTCAAATAAAAGTAATAAGTATCTCTCCAAGAAATTACTCAAGTAAGAGTAAAAAATATTTGATGAAAAG